GTAGTAGTAGTAGTAATAATAGTAGCTAAATAAGGATGAAGAAGGTCCCTCTGAGGACCAGGCTCTTCTTGTCGCAGGACACGATCTGCTGCGGCGAGAGCTGCGTCCTAGGCTCGACTCCGATGGTGTTTTGGTTCGAGGGTTTAGAGTTCAGGGTTTAGGNNAGGGTTTGGGGTCTAGGTTTAGGGTTTAGGGTTGCCACGAATTGTCCTGTCTCCTTGGTTTGAGGGACGTGCTACACAGGCAGCCTCCGCTGCGTACTGTTGTTTGCGGCAACACTATAGCTACTTATTGAAGCAAGCGTTGATAGCATTTCAATGTCCAAAATTTAGCGATCAAGTCAGCAAGTCGGGCTTCGAGGGCTTCGGGGTTGTAGGGACTTGGGGTTTCGGGTTTAGGGTATGGCCGGGTGGGGTTGCAATGATTCCTGTGACCACCGCTACTGCTCAGAAGCATATGTTGTTGTTGCAGCTGATGGCTATGGGTTAGACGACTTGCATGATTCTTATGACCAGTATATCTGATGGTATGTTTATCACCACTGACACTGCATGTGCTAGAAACCTCGCAGCTACCTGAATGCTGCATGATGCTGCACGAGTATGTTCGTGCCTGTGATTCTTACTGCCTGTCCTTGGTAGCATGTGGATGTTCCCGTTCTTACGCCTGTAGCGACCAGTTTGCCCATTCCTACGATTACCGTCGTCACTCCTAACGAATCGTCTTAGCGTGCAGCATTTGTGGCACCTTGCTTTTCCGGCTACCACTCTCGCAAACCCCATTTACACAATAATCCCAAACCCGAAACAGCAAACCCTATGAACCCTAAACCCTAAACCCTAAACTATAAACCCAAATCCGGTAAGGAAGCCCCTCGCGTCTCGCCACAAAAGGAAACATCGCGCCCAACTTGAGCCCAGGAACTTCGCATATGCATCCGGATCGCTGAAGCCTGAGCTCTGCTTTTGGGGGGAGGTGGGGGGGTTATGAGATTTCGGGCTTTGGCTTTAGGGTTTGGGGTTTAGCGCTCTAAGATTGAGTGCGCAGGCGGGGTTTTTCTGGCGGCACCCCTAACCCTAAACCTAAAACCTAAACCCTAAACCCTAAACCCGAACCCTAACCCAAACCGGTTTAGGGTGCAGAGTTTAGGGTGGAGCCTGGGCGCGCTATGGCTCAGCGAGGCTTGGTGCTCACAATGTGTAGGGTTTAGGGTTTAGGGTTTAGGGTTTAGGGTTTAGGGTTTAGGGTTTAGGGTTTAGGGTTTAGGGTTTAGGGTTTAGGGTTTAGGGTTTAGGCTTGGAATGTGTAGGGTATTCTGTCCAACCCCACCGCGACTGATACGGAACCGCAAGATCTAATGTAGAGGCCTGAATAATTACCTACATTATTCTGGGGGCTCCCCATTGTAATTATAAAGTATAGTGTACCCCAAAAAATCTATCCTAATTGTTAGGCCCCTGTATTCAACACTTTGGATTGAAGTCCTTCTCCGCAACTCTGAGATTGTTGGATTGTGTGGGATCTCGGCAAGCTTAGGGTTTAGGGTTGAGGGTTTAGGGGTTTAGGGCTCTATGTATTACCTAGCATATATCAAACATAAAGAGATACTGTGGCATCTTATATTATGGTAGATTGTATCCTAGTATCCTATGCTATAGTATACTAGGTTATAGCCCTAAACCCTAAACCCCAAACCCTTAAAGTTATAGCAAATAACTTAATATAGCAGGTTTTCTTAGTTTTCTTATATAACATGTAAGCATCATCGGATCGGAAAGCCAGGGGCTTCGCAAGGGTTCGGAGGAACAGGGGTTTCGGGTTTTGGGTTTAGGATTTAGGGTTTAGGATTTAGGATTTAAGGTTTAGGGTTTAGGGTTTAGGGTTCAGGGTTTAGGGTTTCGGGTTTAGGGTTTAGGGTTCAAGGTTTAGGGGTCATTTGGATTTC